GCAGGGTCCCTGCACCTGTGCGGTTTTGCTCGGGTCTCGCTGGTCTGCTGGGGAGGGAGGGGGCGCAGCTAGTGCGCCTCCCCCCCTCCCAGCAGAGACCAGGCTTGTTGCGGGACGCCTCGGGTAGAGCAGCTGGGGTGCTGCCCGGTTGGTCCTGTGGGAACCTACCGGGCAGCGCCCCAGCTGTTCTATCCCAGGCTCCAGATTCAGCAGCTGTTGAAACTGATCAGGCTGATTCCAGGAAGCTGGGGGCAGAGCAACTCTGCCTCCAGCTTCCTGTAGTCAGCCCCTGGTCAGTTTCAGTGGCAGCAGCTAAATCTGGAGCCAGTTCCGACTTACATACACATTCAACTTAAGAACAAACCTATAGTCCCTATCTTGTAAGTAACCGGGGGACTGCCTGTACATATCAGGAATTAAGTAGAACAATGGATAGTTGTTCTAATTAAATTCATAATGGGTCTAGACTAACCACTTTCAAAGCTTGGTAAAGCACAGATCCAATTCCAGACTTCACAGTTTTGATAGATCCATCTTTAAATAGCAAAGTTGTAAAAGGAGAGGAAAAGAGATGGTCTTAGAGATTAGGTTCTGACCTCCACCAAAAGTAGTAGCTTAGGTCCTGATCCAAGGTAGTTACAGTCATCAGAACATTTCCCATTGACTAAATGGGCTTTGGTTTAGAGCCTTGGTCTTTAAATAGCCCCACTAAAATTAAGCATCAAGATTCTACTCCACCTGAATACGTTCCTGAATAAGGATCGCAGAATTGGGCTGTGACAGGTATCAAGTGAGCTATAACTGAGCCAGGCACACTGATCACTTACAAACCAATTAAATCCCCCCCAGCCCTCCTTTTGGATCTGTCTGTGACTAATTAGCAGATTCAAATGGGCAGAGGAGGACTAAAAGGATAATTAGTCCATTAACACAGGTAGTAGAAGAAAGGAAATGCAGCAAAGGGACAAATTAGTGGAGCTAGAACAGTCTATGGGTGAAGAGAGCTCTTCCCTGTCCTTGGCAGAGGAGAAACTGATGCTGTAAATGTTTTGATCAGTAAAGATGGGGGGAAGAGCAACATAAACAAACTATAGGGTAGTGTTTAACAATAGAAAGTATCTAATTCCTTGATACAACCACATTCTTCAGTAGCTACTGGATCTCCTGAAAGAAAACCTGTTTAAAAAGAAACCAGGTAATTAGCACAGCAGACCTGTCAGGTATCATTAGAATCAGTTCAGTCTTATCTCAAAGTGGTGTCTTGCTTCTTAACCATTCTTTTTTCTATGAAGAAGAGCTGTGCCCCTTGCATCGTTCCATTGATGTACTTGAAGGAGAATATTTTTTTCTTTGCTTCCCTGGATCAATACAAGAGATTTTCCCCAGTAAAACGTACACAGTGACCTGGTTCAAAGAAAGTAAAGGGAAGGTGAATTTGATCCAAGAAACACAGAGACTTGTTTTAAGTGGGAGACTTCTGGAGTTCTGGCCAATTGAACTTGGTGATCTGGGGAATTACACTTACAGACTCAGGTGAGTACATGCCTAGTGGATAAGACAGAGTCTTTGCAACCGTATAAAAATAATACCTGATCCACCACTACCCTAACCTTGTATAGTCATTGGCACCTATGCACAGGGTATGCTTAAAGCAACATTTATTCAAGTGACATTAAGGTACACAATCTATTATATATTCTGAAGAGTTTGTGGATTACTTTGTGCGAAATAAGGTCATACTTCACGATTAACTACAGATAAGAAATTCTGCATAAGCAATCCTGCTACTTAAATTAGCTGAATGCACTACTTTTTACACTGGAATATGATGGGTGAAAGATTTAAATAATTATTTTAAATTTCATTGGAAAAAAGACATGACTATCATAATTAGAATTAATAAAAAATATTTGCTAACAAAATTAAAATTCAGTCGCCTGTTCAACTGACACTTTATTGCAAAGAAAATGTTTATTTTTACAAATCACAAAATAATTCAAATTAGCTATGGAAAGAGTAATGTAAGTTTTACTTGATAGGAGTTATCTTTTTCAGCATTCATTTTTGTTTTATTTACTTTTTTAAGAATGTATTTGCATATTACCTACTAAAATGGTAATGTTATAAACAATCAGAATTGATTGCTCAATATGATTGTCTAAAGATTTTTATGCACCAGCAATTTATTTCGATTTATTTTGATCTTTATTTCAACTAATACAGTTTAAAGTTCTTTGTTAATTATATATGGTAACTTTTCAATAAAATGAATAATGTTTGAAGTTGAAATCCTACAAGTTTAAAACTGTTCTTTTACTTCCCTTTTACAAACACGTTAGTAAAAAATACCATTACATATATTTAATGTCTTGAACTTTCCTATAAGTGTAATCTGCGCAAAATGACTTTGGTTGGTTTACAACTAGTAGGTGAGGCCCATTGTTATTAACTACGCAGAGTGCTTATAAAGTTTAATATTAATTGCAAGTAAAGCAAACCTCTCAACATTTAAGCAAAACTTTTGTTAAAGAAGACTAGTGTTTTTTGTTCCTTCAAAACACTGCACATTGTGTATGTTTAGAAACAGATTAATAACATACTTCTTGTAATTGATATGGAAGAATTTATCTTACATTGAGTAATTCTGTGTGAGTGTTTCTGTTGAAATCAATGGGATTAAATTTATGTTAAGGTAATACACAAGATGAGTAACAATGGCATAATTAGGCTCTGGTTTCTATACAGAATTTTGCGTAATTGGAACTATTAAAAGCACAAATGTAATGGTTATATTTGATTTCTCACTGAGTATACTCTTTCACCTCAAAATAGCTTTTACAAAGCAGTGACTCAAATGGAGCAGTAAGACTGCTGCACTCTTAGTTGTAATATTGTTCAGTAACCCAGGAAGAAAGTTTAGTAATGGCTAAATCAGTTTTGAAAATTGGAAGATGTTTCAAGACACAGGCTAAAAATAATAATTTCTTTTTAATAGTGTAGTATTATGTCATCCAGGGGCTGTGCTTTTATTATGGAAAATTTGAATGGTCTTTTTAAAAATTACAGCTTAGATCTGTGACTGCAGAAGTATCGTAATAAAAAAATACAAAACTAAATACTCCGGTAATAAAAAGAGCCAGTATTTCATGGACTACAACTTTCTTAGGCCTAAGTTAGCAACAGAAAGTTCCATTATTTTTTGAAATAGCAAAACAACTAATGTAATTATTATGATTGTATTTGTTTTAACTTACATTTATTTTATTTAAATATAAACTTAAAATATAGAAATAATGTTCCGAATTTTGATGAAATAAAAATGGTTATTTATTAAAATAGTGGTTAAACGTATTGACTTTTTCATGAAAAGTGAAAAATATTGATACCAACATTTTTTTTCCAAGATAATTCAGTATAGAAAAAGTAAATTTGGTTGAAAATTTGCAACCAGTCTATTGGACCATGGACTCAACGGCAGAGTTTTGGGAGGATAGGAGGGCGGGCAGCAGCTGTACACACTAAGGATGTTAAAGACTAGTCAACTATCTGATAAGCATATAGTTTTTTGACTAGTCAATCGGCACTTCTGCATTCCTCCTTCGAAATGTACAAGATCGCCTGCTGGGGCTCTTGTATATTTCAAAGGAGGAATGCAAAACTTCACGTACAGCCCAGGGCCAGCAGGAAGCCCTGCTTACTCTGGACTGCATGCAGGTGCTTGCTTTAAAGAGTAAGCAGGGCTTCCTGCTGGCCCTGGGCTGTACGTGAAGTTTTGCATTCCTCCTTGAAATATACAAGAGCCCCAGCAGGAAATTCCATCGACTAGTCAGTTAATCACATTTTAACATCCTTAGTGCACACCTGGGTGCTGCTTGCTTTTCTTCCTCTTCCCCGGACTATCAGGGAGAGAGGAAAAAGTACTTGGATTCCGTGCATGCCTCTTACTCCTGGCTGGTGAAGGGAAGGGGAAGAGGAGTAACGGAATACAAGTATTTTCCCCTTGCTCCTCGATAGTCTGGGGAATGGGAAGAAAAGCAAGCAGCGTCCAGGTGTGAACAGCTGCTGATCCCCCTACCCTCCCAAAACTCTGCCCCCTGCTCTCCTGAAACTCCGCCCTTGCATGTACAAAAAGAAATAGGTGAATTTGATTGAATTACTTATTCATGATGTATTCTTTACTCAGCTGTTTTGACCATGAAAAAAAATAGAAGTTCCTTAAATAAAGCAGAAATAAATCAATGAAACATTTTCATGACAAATCACTGTGCTCTGCGGGGGGGAAAACAAACAATCACAAAATCAAACAAACCAAGCTCCCCCCACACAATAAATACAAAGAGGGAAGATTTGTTTAAGTCCATTTACCAGTTTAGCACAGAATTGACCACAGTTAGCACCATTTCTTGTCATGAATGTTTTTGATATATTTTTCAGGAGGAGTTGATTAAAATCTTTCACACATCTTTGTTGTTTGTATGGTTTTACACAGCACATATCTTAAGTTCCTGTGGTTAACTGGAAATCAGGTCAATAAGCTCTTCCATAGCGGTTGAGTGATTTTTTTGTATCTAGGTCAGTGGTCTCCAACCTTTTTACACCCAAGGTCTACCGCCCCGCCCTCTCTATTCTCCTCCTCTCCATCACTTGCTATCCCCAATCCTTATACTGCTGCTTTTTTTTAAAGGTTTTTCAACATTTGGAAGTGGTGCTCAGCCAGGGTGCACCACGCTCCACGTGGGCTGGTGCAGAGAAGAAGCTGCCTGGTCAGCTGGCTGTGGCCTTCAGGCCGGAAGAGGCTGAACCGTGCTCCAGCTGATCGGGCGGCTTCCCCTCTGCACCTGCCCACAGCTGGAGCTAAACGCAGCCTCCCTGGGCTGAGCACAGGGCAGCCGGGCTGGAGGGAAGATTAGTGGATACCTGGCCAGCTGGCCATGGTGCTCAGCCAGGGTGCACCAAGCTCCACATGGGCAGGTGCAGAGGAGAAGCCGCCGATCAGCTGGAGCACGGTTCAGCCTCCTCCGGCCTGAAGGCCACAGTCAGTTGGCTGGGGTGTTTCAGCCCTCCCGGTCTCCCAGCTCCTTGCAGCTACTCACCTGTGTTGTTGCTTGGTTGGATACCTGGCCAGCTGGCCATGGTGCTCAGCCAGGGTGCACCAAGCTCCACATGGGCAGGTGCAGAGGAGAAGCCGCCGATCAGCTGGAGCACGGTTCAGCCTCCTCCGGCCTGAAGGCCACAGTCAGTTGGCTGGGGTGTTTCAGCCCTCCCGGTCTCCCAGCTCCTTGCAGCTACTCACCTGTGTTGTTGCTTGGTGAGTAGCTGCTCCTCAAATGAGGAAATCTAATGTAAATGTACTGCGCAGGCACGCAGTTCTGAGAGGGCTTGAGCTACTCTTAGAGCCCCTGAGATCTACCAGTAGATCGCGATCTACTGGTTGGTGACCACGGATCTAGGTGATATGTAAGTAACTGAAAAGATTAGAGGTAGAAGTCAGTGGCAATCAAATGACACACTTTACGGTTCTGACCCTGCAAATAGTTATGCATTTATTTAGCTTTCATAGTGCGGGCCCTGCTGAAGTCAATGGGTCTACTCCCATGTTTGAAGCTAAATACATGCTTACGTGATTTGGGAACAGAACACTGAGCATTAAAATGGTAATACTAAATCAAAATCTGATCTTGATGGTGAAATAGCTGAGGGATGATTTGTAATATAATTTGTATTCAGTATTTTTTCGGGGGGGAAGTGAAAACTTAATTGCAGCTTTATGCATTTTCAGTCTCCAAGGTGCTTTGCTAAGGCTGGCTACATGTTTTGAATGTTAATGATTTCAAGTCCTGCCTCGCCCTGGTCGGGTTGGGATGGGACGGATGACAAAAAGCTGGGCGGCCCCAGGGCAGGAGGGATAAGGGGCGCCCTGACTGTCCCCCCCATGTCCTGGGGCCCCAACTGTCCCTGGGAACCCTGGGAGTGGAAGCAACAGGGCTGGGGGAGGAGGGAGTAGGGTTGTCATTGTGGCAGATGGAGTTCTGGGAGGAGGCACTTTTTAGATACAAAGCCAGGCGTTTCATCATCAGAGCTGTCAGGTAGGCAAATATGGTCTCCTGCTGTCTCACCTGCTGCTTCCTGGTGGCTCTTCTTTCCTGGCATTCAGCTATTCAGTCCAGGCACTCAGCCCGCATTTCCTTTATGAGGGAATTCATGCAGTCTGTCTGTTCCCTGAAGATCTTCTCCCTTGTACATTTCGCCTGCAGGTCTGAGCCAGGTGGGTAAATGCTATAAGAGGGGGATTATGCAGTGCGCTGGCTGCAGTCTCAGTTGTAATGGAAAGTTACAAGGGCACATATTACAGGAGATACATTGTGTTTAAAATTGATCCTAATCTGTTAGCCTACACCGAAGTTCTCTGTAAAGACAATGGAGATGTGTTCTGTGCAAGGCTAAAGGTTTGTTTTAAAGGGAATACTTTACAGGAAGGGCACAGGGTTCTCAGGAGAGCATTGGGACACCTTTGGTTTAGAGGCAGGCAGGCATGGTAAGGGGCCAGCCAGGGCAGGAACCTGCAGGTGAGAGGTGATGGTGGCAGAAGGCAGCTTTCTGCTGTGTCCTGCACACATCAGGAGGGGGTCCCAGCCTATCAGAGCCTGGAGGTGGGAGGGGGTTGTGTATCTGGCACAAGCAGCTTGCTGTGGAGAGTGCCTGAAGGACGGCGGGATGTGTGTCCTACACTCGTGGCCTCCTGAGGAGAGTGCTAATGGGTTCCCCTCCTCATTCATCTAGGTTGCTATGAGAAAGAGCCATCTTCTCTGAATCACACCAAGTGATTGGGAGTGGATGCTGACTGAATGTGGCCATAAACTGGACCTTATGTTGCAATGCTTTGTGGTTTAATGATGCCAGATCACTTCCTTGTGGCTTGGCATGAGAGGGTGTCCTACCATGGAGAACGGAATAAGGCAGGACTCCCCAAAAAGCTTGTGAGAAGGATCAAAAAGTTCCTATCTGAGAGCTTCATGGAGATGTGCCGGCAAAACTCCTGCTCCATCTGCAGACACATTAACAAGCTATTCCGTGTCCCCTGATACTGTGGAGACAGGCAGTGCACTGCACATAACCTGCTTGTAGTAAGAAAAATAGTGAACTCCCCAGAATTGCCTTCCCCGGGGTTGGTGCTTGACTGGGAGACATCCTGGGAGGGAGGGGTCTGGCTCCAGCATCATGAACAGCTCTTGGCTCTCGAGACTCGTTGGTTGCCCATGGTCCTCTTCCTTCCCCTCTGCCACCACACTGTCCTCCATGCTGATGCCAGGCATGTCTTGGCTGAATTCCATGGACACAATGGGGAAGCTGGCAGTCCTTCCTCTTCCCCCTTCCCCTCCAATCACATCCAGTTGCCCTTAGAAGTGGCATCTGTGAGGTATTGCACCAAACCATCCACTCCCCTCCTTTGCCTTGTGGTAGAACTGCCTCAGCTCTGATTTTGATTTGGCACTACCAGGCATCCCTGGAATAACATTTAGCTACCAGGCAGCTTGTGATCTTTGCATAAACATCCATATACCTCTTGCTAGTTCATAGCTTAGAGAGAATGGATTTGTCTCTCCGTGCCTTGATGAGGTCTAAGGTCTCCTGGAAATTCTACGCTGGCACTCTTCTGCACTCCTGCAGATTGGAGCCTGTCAGAACAGAAGTATTCAAATTTTCACTGTGTTTGCATTGGTCGAAGTCACGTCCACTTGTGGCATGCTGTGCTGCTTGCTTTGAGATATGTTCGCAATGCTAGCCACGTGGCAAATGCAATTCTAATTTTTTCTGAGCTTTTTCTGCTTATCTGGAGAGCAGCTGAGGCACAAGTTCAGGCCATAGTGGTCAGAGTGGGGAACTGCGGGAGGCTTCCTGGAGGCCAATAACCCTCAGGACCTGACTGGTGCCAAACCAGTGAATTTGCTGACCCATGGGAGGTCAGTATTGTCTAGCAGCATTACCAACACTTCCACTGCTTACTAGGCTCGTAGAAGACATATGGGGTAAATTAGAGCTAAATAACATCATAGAATTCTGTGGAGCCAGGATTGGTAGCTCTAAACAAACTTTCTGAGACCACAGGAAACTTGCCCACACCCATGGTAAGTACACATCTGACTAACTAAAATCATGCCAGACTCACAGATGTTGCTGGATCAAAGAGTGACAGACTAGAGAGGTTCAACCTGTATTTAACTATCGTACTATAGTAATTAAATGTGTCTTTGGGGTACAGTAGACTTCTGATAATCTGGCATCTTTTGGACCTACGTGGTGCTGGATTATAAGATTTGCCGGAGAATCGGCAGGCTTTTTAATCAGCTGGTCAGGAGCGCTTGGCATTTTGATACCGGAGTACCAGGAGTGCCAAACAGTTGGATGCCGGACTATCGGAGTTTTACTGTAATATGTAGCTATGAAATAAAGTGTCCATGCTCAGTAATAATGTATGCTTCTCCACGAAGCCCTCAGGATTCACAAACTATTTTTAAAATTGTTATAGCAAGCCTCAGTGAACTAGATGAATAAGTCTGTAAAACCACTAACTGGTCATTTGAAGCTACTTACGTGTCATTATGCTAATTTGTACGCATATTTGCTCCCATATATTGTTTTATTATAAATAATTATTAAACTGATTGAAGATTCTCTTTTGGTATGCCTGTCTGTTCCTTATTCTGGGATTTTACTGAAAATAACACGTAATTTATGTGGGGGAAGTAATGAAAAGGAAGTAAAAGAAAATGGGTCAATATAGATTTTTTTTTTTAAAAAAAATTATTTTAATTTGTTGTGTAATTAGCTAACCTACGTGACACTTTTTTCCTTTTATTTCATAGCAATGGAACATATAATGTCACATCACAAAAGTGGTCTCTGAATGTACTCAAAAGAAGTAAAGACAGTTGTTTTAACACAAATCATTCATCCATGCAAGTTAATGATGCTGGAAGAAGTTGTACATTGAAATGCAGTGCTGTGCCCCACAGTAAAAATGTCACCATAATGTGGTACAAGGTAATTAACAAGCAAACAACCCATCATCACACATCATCAAGGGACTTACTTGATTTGCTTATATACTAGTTGGCACTTGGAAGTTTTGGTGTTTCAGATTATTTAGCATTAAGAGATGAAAAATAAATTCCATTCTTTAAAGTGAATCATAACCCTATTCTTTACTACAAATACTACCAAATCAGAGGATCTGATTACAACACAGTGGCATTTGTAATGAACTGTGTTCCATAACTGGGTTAAAGCCTTGGACAGAATACTTTCATCCTCCTGTTGCTTCACGATGCTGGATAGCCCTCTATTCCTTCGCTGATTTATAGGGATGCCATTTATCCACTCCCATCAGTTGGGATCAGAGATGACTCGTGGTCATATAGGGGCAGAGGAGCTGTCATGCTTGATCAGATCAGTAGTCGGTCCTGTCCGGTGTCCTGTCTCTTGCCAGTGGTCAGTGTCAGTTGCTTCAGAGGAAAGTGCAAGAAGTCCTGGAGTAGTCAGTTGTTTGTTAACCTGGTCCAGGGAATGTTTCCTACTGACCCACAATGGTTAGAGATTGGAGTGTGCACTAAAGCATAAGGGTTTGTATCTCTTTCCAAAGTCTTATTTGTTTTTTATTACCCATATAAATGTCCCATTCTTTTTTGACCCCAGCTAAGCTCTTGGCCTCTATGGTAACTTGTGACGATGAGTCCAGCAGTATTTCCTTTTATCAGTTTTATATTCGCTGCCTTCATCATTCATTGAATGTCTCTCTCTTCTGTAATGAGAGAGGTGAATAGCAGTGCGTATCTGACAGCTTTATACCATTCGTAAATTTCTAGTATAATTTGGGAATGGTGTTCTATCAAACAAGTTATTTTGTTGAAATTCCTCACAATTTAAATATCTTTTTAATCAAAGACATTATTTAAATGGGTAATAATTTTGAAAATAATGATAAAGGGATTATTTTGAATCCTGGAAAAAGATTCTGAAATGTTGAATCCTCGCCCCGCCCTGCCCTCCATCCCCCCACCATCTTTTTTTAAACACACAAATACATTCTCTTTCTCTCTCAAAGCACGCGCACGCACACACCCAAATTATGTCTGTGGAACACCAGCGGTCCACAAGCTTTTCAGGTGGTCTGAAGATTGTTCCCTGTAAGGTGTGCACGGACTAGATACCTAATTAGAGTCTCACAGGCATGGCTCCACTTATTAGGTGCCTGTATCCTCACATCTATACTGTGTCACTTAACATCAGTAAGGTAAGGTAGTGGCTTTTGGAGAGAGAGAGGTGATGGGACAAATAGGAGGGGGAGCAGTGTAGGGGAAAGAGAGATGGAGGGAATTTGGGACATGCAGGGCTGAGGCAGCCAGAGAAATAGGTGACTTTACCCAGCTACAGGGCTGCAGCTTCTGGGGGAGAGAGCCCGCCTTCCCAGCTTCAGCAGTGTGGGCTGCTATGGGAGGCAAGAAACTTGTATTGATATTAAAATATGAGTTGTGTGATTTTTTTTTTTTGAGAATAAAAAACCCTTTATTATTATTAAGAGGTTTTTTATATAGCATTTTTTATTCAAAGTGCTTTATGATAGTTAGCTAATGGTATTAACAACATTTGGGAAGAGCATTAAGTTGTCCATCAAGATCCCTCAGCAATTTTCAAGTAGTCTCCTCCCCTCCCCCCCTCCAAAAAAAGTTTGAGAACCATGCAATGGGGAGAGCATTCTCTTCAACTAATGAATTGGCTAAGCTTCTGGAGGAGCCTAGCCAAATTTTTGAAAAATGGATGCTTAAAATTCAGTTCCTCCAATATATATTTAGATACCTTGAATAAATGTCCTGAATTTCAAAAGTACAGAGCAGACATTTGGGCAGGGGAGGGTGACACTCAATGAGTGACTTCACTTGAGAAGTGCTGGGTACTGAAGATTTTTTGAAAATGAGGCCTCTTGTTTAGGTGTCCAATTTGAGATAATTTTTTTAAATCTTGACTCCAGTTTTCCAACATTGGAGTAGCTAAATTCTGTGATTGAATACTCAGTTGGGAACTTAATTTAGGTGATTAGCTTTGTTTACACCATTTCTCCTTATTTGTCTCTTATATTGTCATTTGGATGTCCAAAGACTGCATTTGGGTGCCCATGTTTGAAAGTTGGACCCAAGCTTTTTAGACATTTTGGAGTATACCTCCCCAGAAGGTTTCATTTTAAAATATTTATTTTCTCATTGCAAGCTTCAGAATGTATTCTTAGCATGAAACAACATATTTAAATGTTCTTTATTGATACAGAACTGTAACATTTATGACTCTGCAAACAAGGAGGAACTGATTTTTTTAAACTTAACAGTTGAAGACTCTGGGAATTACACATGTGTGGTTTCACTTAGTTATGCAAGAAGGGCATTCAACGTCACAAGTACAACAGAGCTGATGGTGGCAGACGGTAAGATTGTTTTCTGGGGAGTCTGAAGACCATGTAATTATATGATTAAGGTGCACTTCCTGTGCAAAGTCCAGTTTCTCAGGTTTTGTGAAGAGAGATAATGGCCTACATTCTTCCAACTTTAGATAGCATTAGGTCATGCAGTTAATTGCATATTGTGATTAGTTGATATAAGCATGCTGTCTATTTTACAATTCAACATAAAAATTATGCAGCTGTACTATGGAATAGAGAGAAATGAAGTAAAATCCTGAAATATGCATGAGTTCAGAAAAGAGTGAACTTGAAAAATATTATCCTAGTTCTTGTTATACTATGACACCAACTACCCCAGGGATGGACCTGGCTCCCGCATTTAGAAAGCAGGTATGGAGGTGAGGTGGGTTCTCTAGTGAACTCAATCCCTGCCCACTTGGGTAGTGGCTAGGCAGCCAACACTGGCTGCCCCCAGGATGGAGGTGGGTTAGGGTTACATCGCCACATATCTATCTTCCTCCGGAGAAAGCAAAAACAATTTAAAAAGCAAAAAGAGATGCAGAAAAAAAAATCTACTGGTTTTATTTAGTCTTATATGAATGTTCTGATTTCTTCCCACCCTTCCTCTTCAGTTCTATTAAATTTAGCAAAGATTTAGTAAGTAATGCAAACATTTGGAGTCATGCTTTGCTGAAAGGCATAATGAGTAGGGTTCCACAGGGATCGGTTTTGGGACTGGTTTTGTTCAATATTTTCATCAATGATTTTAGATAATGGCATAGAGAGTACACTTATAAAGTTTGCAGATTATACCAAGTTGGAATGGGTTTCAAGTGCTTTGTACGATAGGGTCAGAATTCAAAATGATCTGGACAAACTGGAGAAATGGTCTAAGGTAAATAGGATGAAGTTCAATAAGGACAAATGCAAAGTACTCCACTTAGGGAGGGACAATCAGTTTCACACACTTCTCTAAAGGAGTACTGCAAAGAGGGATCTAGGAGTCATAGTGCACCACAAGCTAAATATAGAGTCAACAGTGTGACACTGGCAAGCAGAAAAAAAAAAAAAAAAAAAAGGGACAATCAGTTTCACACACTTCTCTAAAGGAGTACTGCAAAGAGGGATCTAGGAGTCATAGTGCACCACAAGCTAAATATAGAGTCAACAGTGTGACACTGGCAAGCAGAAAAAAAAAAAAAAAAGCAAATAC